TAATGGTTTGAATTGAATTTTGCTAAATTATTACCAGATGAGTTGAACTAATTCTTAACCGAGTGTTCAGTTATATGTTTAGAGATTGTAACACAGATTGTGTCCTGCAGACGCCTCCGCAGGAAACGGCATCCTTACAAAGGCTACGGTGCCGATCTATGCAACCGGAGTCCTGACGTGCTACAATCAGGTAGGAGCTTCATTGTACGCCAGGTGTGTGATGTCTCAATTCAGAAAAAGCCTCTCTCTGATGAAGTTGTTCGTTTTAGGAGGAGGACCGTAAACTCTTGGTTGGCTTTCTTGAGGATGTCATGACCACGCTCTCTCTCTCGCATGCTCCTCTTGACAGTCTAAAGGCTTCATTTGTAGAGCTGGGGTGAGTGTCTGTCAGCACTGTTAAATCTGCATTTCTGCATAAGATTAATTAATCACTGCAAATATAAAACATTATATTTATCATTTTAAATAATTTGTATTTTTGCATGCATCATTTAAATGTAATATTTAATAGTTTTACAATTATTACAAAATATTTATAATTTTTTCACACATTTAAAATTATTATCATTTTATAATTATTTTAAGAATTTTATTTCAAGTATTTTTTATTATTTCAAGTGTTTTAAATATATAATCATAGTTTTAAAATTATTAGAAAAATATAATTACACAAAATGTGTTTTACACATTTATATTAATTTGACATTTATAATTGTATTTTATGATTTCATCGTGTTAACATTTTGAAAATATAGTTTATTACACAATTTTTACTTCTTATTGATCGCACGTAATTCTTGCAATTCGACAGTTTCATCTACAGCGGTGGCCAAAATTATTAGAACACTATTATTTTCACCAGCTAAAAATAGTTTTAAGTAAGGTTTTTCTATCCTTTGCTGTAGTGTGTTTCTCACTTTACAGCATTTTTACACAAGTGCCTAAAACTTTTCACAGTACTGTAGCTTTGCAGGTAGGTTTCTTGAAGCATCTTGGAAACGTTGCCACAGTTCTTCTGGATTTAGTCTGTCTTGAAACCATTTTTTAGCTGGTGAAAATACTAGTGTTCTAATAATTTTGGCCCCCACTGTATATTAGCCAGAAAGCTAATATTAGCTAATATTAAAGGAATAGTTCACCCAAAAATGAAAATTCTGTCTTTAATTACTCGCCCTCATGTCGTTCCAAACCCGTAAGACCTACCTTCATCTTCGGAACACAAATGAAAACATTTTAAATGAAGATTTCTGTCCCTCCACTGAAAGTCCACACACCTAAAACTAAAGCTGGAGTAAACGTTTCAAGAGACACGGGCGCTTTATATGATGAACTCATTTAATTTAGCCTATTATTAAGAAATAAACATTGATCAACACAGAGTTTAACAACGAGTGGGACCTCAAATGTGTTTACGAGAACCAATGCGCTCTCTTTTTTAATTTTTTTAAAAACTCTTCTGACTTTTAAGGTGCATTTTGCTTTGTTGTCGTGTCATGTATGCGTGTTTAATCATCAGCAAGAACCAATTAGGTGTTGTTGTTTTTTGCGCATGCGCATCAGGCAACTACGGTTAAGCTTACGTTTACCATATTTGATGTGCTCTCTATGCACTCTACGTGCTTTTATCAATGTAAATCTAAAATGCCCATTTTTTGGCCTTTGTTTCCTATTGACAATCTCTCTACAGTCCTCATACATGTAGCTACTATTTGCATTGCTTTGACAGTTCAGCTGTAGATCCCGCCTTCTTTCATGCCACATTTGGTTGAGTATGCACAATGCCTGCACGCTACTGGTCAAACTAGTTACCTTCAGCAAGTATGAAAACAATAGCAAACCAAAGCCAAAACCCAGACATTTTAGGCAATTTAGAAATCCCGGCCAGGACATCACCGCAAAATATTGACTCCCTGATCAATGTTTATGTATGAATAAAACCAAATGGTTAGGCAAGGCGTAGGCAAGTTTGGTTCTAGAGAGCTGCTGTGCTGTGGCTCACCAAACCCACCTGAACAAGCTAATCAATGTCTTCAGGATTACTAAGGCCAAAGCCACTAGAAGGCAAGCCTGCAACCTTCAGCCAAAAAAGTGCAATGGCTAATGCTAATACTTCCGCTTTGGCGGTACGTGGGAAAGGAGACCAGAGGCCATTTTTTTCTAAATGGATGTCAATGGAGGAGATGCGTCACGCTGAATAAACAGCTTTTTAGAGGAAACAGCTTATTGGTACAGGTATAATGCCTGTATGCCGAGATACGCCGTAGTTACCCTTTTGGGTCTGTCTTGTTGATACCAGCATCAGCATCTTGTATCTTTTTTTTTTTTTTTGCTATTATATTCTTTTAATTGAACTTACTGTACAGCACTTTGGTCAACTTAGTTGTTTTATTAGGTGCTTTATAAATAAAGTTGGAGTTGGAGCTTATCATTTAATGAATCGACACCCTATCGGCTAATCTTCAGCATGTTTTACACTAAGCAATACTTTTGGATTGAACTATTTTTAGAGTTTACACACACACAAAAAATGCCGTTTTATTAGAGAAGTCACAGACTTTTTACGACAGGTGGGATTTAGCTTAAGGCACTTCTCATTCATTCCTACGGCATCCGTAAACGGCGATTGAGTGTTGCACAACTCTGACTGAAATCCAGTGGTGTCAAGGCTGTAATGAGATCCAAGTTGGCTGTTACACTTTCTCCAATAGTAAGTAACACAGACCCTCTCATCTCTCAATAGTAAGACAATCTCTGCTAAGGCTATCCAGCTTATTCTTCAATGCAGAAGTAAGCCTATGAGCGAGAAGAATAACAACGTGCAGTAAACGGTAAAACTGTGTACAACCTTTGTGCTCATAAATAAGATAATACATTAAAATAATATGGTAAATCACACCAGTGTGCAATATAAAGCAGCAAAACGAGCTGTTTTGTACAGCTAAACATAGCTGGACGCGGATGACACCGGAAGCCAGACCAATATAAATTACAAATGGCCGCTTTTCCAGGAAGAATAAGGTGCATAGACAGGTGAGCGTTTTTCAGGGTTGGAGCTGAACTGGAGCAAGACAGCGGCTCTAGGACCTGGGTTAGGCCTACATGTGCTTCTATTCTTCTGTAATGTACTGCATTTCAACTGCTGACCACCAGATAGAGACATTTAACATGTTTTCATGAACTAACGGTATGGTTAAAAGTCTTGAACTGTGTCTGAGAAATAAGCCTCACTGGAGCAAGTAGTTAAGTATTTAAAGTAGTGAATTTAAGCTACTAAAGTTGTCACGAGATTATTAGTGTTTGGGGATTTTATCTGACATTAAATGACTTGTATGTGACAGTTTAAGAAAAATAAGTAATCCTAACTAAATGCATATTGAATAAACTCTAAAACTCGTGTAATGCTGAATGGTTTCTGCATGCAGTGGAAAGAGTGACTGAGACTCACTGCAGCTCTTGTTCAGCAGATGGGAGGGACTGCATGCCTCTTTCTCTCTCTCTCTCTCTCTCTCTCTCTCTCTCTCTCTCTCTACCATCAAACTCCTGCTTTTCATAAAACTTCAGACTGGGAAACACTGAAGCGACGGTTTCATTCGAGCAAAGGGATCGTGTGCCTGTGTGGATGTTCAGAAACACAGAGCAATGTAGTTCAGTTCAGTTCAGTCCGGACGGCAGCGTGAAGTCATGGTGAGTCCAGCCCTGTTCACAGGAGCCTTTACCTTTGACATGAATGAGAAACGATTTTAAAAGCTGATACAAAGTTGCAAAAGTAACCTGTACAAACTTTTTCTGCTGAATATGCTTGCATCAGAGTCTGTTTAGCGTCTTCTGTCAGCTGCATCGAAAGGAATCACTCTCTCTTTGTTTCAAACAACAGCAAGAATGTGTGATCCCTGCAGACATTTAGTACATTGATGGTCAAAAATGCCATTGCTACTACAGTTATGCAGCAGAAGTAAGCCTATGAGCGAGAAGAATAACAACGTGCAGTAAACGGTAAAACTGTGTACAACCTGTGTGCTCATAAATAAGATAATACATTAAAATAATATGGTAAATCACACCAGTGTGCAATATAAAGCAGCAAAACGAGCTGTTTTGTACAGCTAAACATAGCTGGACGCGGATGACACCGGAAGCCAGACCAATATAAATTACAAATGGCCGCTTTTCCAGGAAGAATAAGGTGCATAGACAGGTGAGCGTTTTTCAGGGTTGGAGCTGAACTGGAGCAAGACAGCGGCTCTAGGACCTGGGTTAGGCCTACATGTGCTTCTATTCTTCTGTAATGTACTGCATTTCAACTGCTGACCACCAGATAGAGACATTTAACATGTTTTCATGAACTAACGGTATGGTTAAAAGTCTTGAACTGTGTCTGAGAAATAAGCCTCACTGGAGCAAGTAGTTAAGTATTTAAAGTAGTGAATTTAAGCTACTAAAGTTGTCACGAGATTATTAGTGTTTGGGGATTTTATCTGACATTAAATGACTTGTATGTGACAGTTTAAGAAAAATAAGTAATCCTAACTAAATGCATATTGAATAAACTCTAAAACTCGTGTAATGCTGAATGGTTTCTGCATGCAGTGGAAAGAGTGACTGAGACTCACTGCAGCTCTTGTTCAGCAGATGGGAGGGACTGCATGCCTCTTTCTCTCTCTCTCTCTCTCTCTCGCTCTCTCTCTCTCTACCATCAAACTCCTGCTTTTCATAAAACTTCAGACTGGGAAACACTGAAGCGACGGTTTCATTCGAGCAAAGGGATCGTGTGCCTGTGTGGATGTTCAGAAACACAGAGCAATGTAGTTCAGTTCAGTTCAGTCCGGACGGCAGCGTGAAGTCATGGTGAGTCCAGCCCTGTTCACAGGAGCCTTTACCTTTGACATGAATGAGAAACGATTTTAAAAGCTGATACAAAGTTGCAAAAGTAACCTGTACAAACTTTTTCTGCTGAATATGCTTGCATCAGAGTCTGTTTAGCGTCTTCTGTCAGCTGCATCGAAAGGAATCACTCTCTCTTTGTTTCAAACAACAGCAAGAATGTGTGATCCCTGCAGACATTTAGTACATTGATGGTCAAAAATGCCATTGCTACTACAGTTATGCATATTGTTGGGAAACTGTGGCTGTATTAGCAATCACTGTTATCAAACTGAATACATGACATTACAAAAGCCTGTTTGAAAAAGAACCCATATTAATGTACCACAGTTTTACAGTGGTGATAATAAATGCAGTGAATGTGTTGGTGGAAATATGGTTACCATGGTAAATGGGAACAGGGTAGCCGTGAGTAGGAAAGAGCTGGAGGTGGGAATTCCCCCTCATCCCATCTGAACTCATGAGGAAACTCTGCAGGACACACGGATCTGGAACAAACCCAGGACTCTGTTATGAAAAGACTCTGTTCGGGGTTTCTGGACTGTCTTTATAACTGTGTGTTTCATATGAATAGAATTGAATAGAATAGAAGTAAAACTAATCAAATGGAGTAGTTAAATACTAAACAGAGTTAAGTTGAATACAATATAATTAATTGTAGTTAAACCAATAGAATATAATAGTTGGGAAAAAACTTCAATGTTCAATTCATTGAATGGAATAGCTGAAGCTAAGAATAAGTCTGGCGTGAAACAAATAGAATTGCATAGTTGCATGGGAGTAAATTGGAACTAATAGAATAGAATAGTTGGGTTAAATAAAATGAATGAAATTAACAGAATTGCATAGTTAAATAAAACAGAATGGGGCGAACTGAAATTTTTTTTTTTCCAATTGTGATTACTTTGAATAGAAAATAAACATAAGTGTGCAGTAAAACAAATATAACAGAAATGTGTACAAAAAAAGAAGAAATTATAGAATAGTTATGTACAATAGAATGTGCAATGGAATGAAGAAAAAACTATTTAGAAGAGTAAAGTTCAATTAATTTGAATGGTGTAGATGAATATAATAAAATAAGTAAGACAAATATCTATAGTATAAATGCATTGTTGAATAGGAGAAAAGTGGAACTAATAGAATAAAGTGGTTGGATAAATTTAATGAAAGGAACAAAATTGCATAGTTGAATAAAACAGAATATAAGTAAACTTAAATATTTTTTTTAGGAGTGAAGTAAAACAATTATAATAGAAAATAAATAAAATAGTTAAAATAGAATTAAGGGAAGTTAAACCAATAGAGGAGAATAATTGAATAACATAGAAGAGTTCAACAAAGTAAAGTTCAACAAATAGAATAGTTGAAAATGTTTGGAGCGAAACTTAGAATTCCATAGTTGTATAGAAGTAAAGCGGAAGTAGTGGATATAATAGATGAATACAATAAAATTATGATTAGAATAGATTAGAACAAAATTGCACAATTTAATAAAATAATAGACGTAAACTGAAACACATAGAGGGGAATCTTAGAAGTGAAGTAAAACAAATAAAATAGAAATTAGTAAAACCAATAGAATTAAGGGAAGTTAAACCGATAGAGTAGAATAATTGAATAACATTGAGTAGATAAAACACATCAATTAAGAGTAAAGTTCAACAAATAGCATAAAGCAGTTCAAGTAGTTTGACGCTGAAACATAATAGAATCGCATAGTTCTACATAATTAAAGTGGAACTAGTAGAATATAATAGTTAAGTAAAATAAAATGATTAGAATAGAATATGACAGAATTCCGTAGTTGAATTAAAAGAGTAAACTGAATCAAATAGAATGGAATATTTTAATAAGTGTAATTGGTTTCCACGACATTCATGTAGTGTGACTGTGAGATTACACATGATAATAGAGTAATAGAGTTAATAGAGTGACAGCTCTAATGATGTTACTGCAGTCTTCTGGACGTCCTTTCCATCTGTCGGCATGTATACAAATACAAACTGAGGCAGATGAGGGCCGGATGCTGATGTGACTTCAGCTGCTGCCAGTGTTTGGTGTGTGTGGGACAGGGTGGAGACGTCTGGCTGGATATACAGAGACAGAGAGAGAGAGAGAGAGAGAGAGAGAGAGACAGAGAGAGAGAGACTGAGACTATTTTACTTTGAGAAAAATGAAAAGACGTGACGGTGGTTTGGGTGAAGTTGCATTTTCCACATAAGACCTGAAATAGAGGGAGATGATTCATTTTCAGTTGAGGTGAGAGTGCATGGAAAAACACATCAATACACACACACACACACACACACACACACACATATTCATATAGCAGATACTTTATTGAAAATGAACAAATGAAGAACGTCACAAGCAATTTGTCATATGAGCCAATAATATGCACAGTGCACAATGACTATAAAATAAATAAATAAATTATATTAGTTCATAAGCTGGATCAGAAGTGAAATGCAGATTAAAACAGGAGCATAAACATACATTGGCTTTCATATTTAGACACTTATTTTACGCTTAAACTAAACATGTCTGCATTTGTATTAGAGTGCATGGAAAAACACATCAATACACACACACACACACACACACATATTCATATAGCAGATACTTTATTGAAAATGAACAAATGAAGAACGTCACAAGCAATTTGTCATATGAGCCAATAATATGCATAGTGCACAATGACTATAAAATAAATAAATAAATAATATTAGTTCATAAGCTGGATCAGAAGTGAAATGCAGATTAAAACAGGAGCATAAACATACATTGGCTTGCATATTTAGACACTTGTTTTATGCTTAAACTAATCATGTCTGCATTTGTATTAGAAAACAAAACATCAAACCAAGTGCCGTTTATTTTAAAGACAGCACAGGCGAACGAGTTTGCTGCATTAGAAACTGTAACACAATAGATACAGTGTGAAAAAGACAAGCATTGTGGCACTTTGTGATGGTTAATGGATCACGTTGATAGTTACTGTAACTACACCTGTGTGAACCTGAGGACTTGCACTAAACATCAGCAGAACACCAGCTGATTCACAGACACTGACACAAAGAAAAGCATGGTTAGTATGGAGAAAAGCTCTGGCATTGTTTGTTTGCAGTCGACCCTTGCTTTGATATTTATTGTACAATGATATTCAGATATTTGTTATCTGTGTCCAAGACAAAGCTTAAGTATCCAAATGATTTTTGAGGCCACTGGAGATACACACATACACACACACAAACTCCCGCCCTACAGCGAGACATTTTTATTGGACAGATCTGTTGTCCACCGCAAAATCAACGTAAGGGTCAAAACATACTCAATATGTGTGTATATCTAGCTACCTGAACACATCTGTTTTAATAGATGCACTACTATTCAAAAGTTTGGGGTCAGTACTTTTATTTAGTAAGGATGCATTAAATTGATCAAAAGTGCCAATACAGACATTTATAATGTTGCAAATGATGTCTATTTCAAATAAATGCTGTTCTTTTAAACTGTCTATTCATCAAAGAATCCTGAAAAAAAATAAAACGTATCATGGTTTAATGCATCACAGCAATGAATGTACATTTTACTCTATATTCACAAAGAAAACGGTTACTTTAGATTATAATATTTCACAATATAATATTGTTTTAGTAGGAGATGCGTCGTCTAGTCACATTTAAGTTCCTTATCTTCAAATAGAAACTGGTTGCAGACAGCGCTTAGTTCATGGTTTGAGACATACAAAGCTTTTGTATCAGATATTTCAGTGTGTAAAGTTCCTCTTAGAAAGAGGA